CACACACACACACATATATATATATATACATATATATATATACATATATATATATATATATATATATACATATACATATATATATGTATATATATATATATATATATATATATATATATATATATATATATATGTATATATATATGTGTGTGTGTGTGTGCGTATATATACATACACACACACACACATATATATATCATATATACTGATATAAACTGTGTATATATAAATATATTTATACAAATATATATATATAAATAAATATATTTATACAAATATATATATATATATAAATATATATATATATATATATATATATTTATACAAATATATATATATATATAAATAAATATATTTATACAAATATATATATATATATATATTTATACAAATATATATATATATATATATATATACAAATATATATATATATATTTATACAAATATATATATATAAATATGTATATATATGTATATATATATGTATAAATGTATGTGTGTGTGTGTATACATACATATATAATCATCATCATCATTGGGGATCTAACGCCGGCGGGGGCGCATAGCCGCATCCACCTTTCGCTTCCACCTACGACAGTTCCTCATGGCGAGTCACCAAACAGGGGCCCGGCCCATCTCTAGCTCCTCACTACAGATTTGATCGATCTGCCCAAGCCACGAGTGTTGAAGTGTTGGTGCAAGAACACAGCCTTGCCTCACACCTGAACTAACAGGGAAGAAGCTCGACAGGCCCCCACCACACTTTACAGTACTTTCAGTGCCTGTATACAGTCCTTGTTGGAATTCCTCTCAGTCTCAGGATTTCCCAAAGTGTTTCACGATTCATGGTATCAACGCCTTCTTGAGGTCAATGTAAGCTGTGAGCAGCCCATGTCCGAACTCACAACGGCATTCTACAATGATTCGAAGCGCAAGGATATAGTCTATTGCGGACTTAAAAGGAGTAAACCCAGATTGCTCCTGCCTCTGATCAGCAGGTGGTCTCTGATACGTCTCAGCACGTCAGGGGGAATGGTACCAGTTTGCCAGATGGCAGACAGGACAGCATGCAAGCCCCTTGCCATAGATTCTCCACCAACCTCTAACAGTTCAACTGGGATGCCGCAAAAACCTGCTGCTTTACCACTTTTCAGCTTGGAAATCGCCCCCCTGACTTCAGACAGGGAGGATGGATCATCGCTGATGGGTGGGTCTGGCAGAGGAATCTCAACATTACCTGCATCCAAGTTAATTGTTGTTGGATCAACCTGATACAACCCAGCTCAATGCACCTGTGCCCCATCAGGTTCTGAGATTATGTGCTGAGTGGACTGCAGTCATCTGTGAGTAGGGCTTGGAGCTCAGCTTTCTCATGGCTTGGTAGGCAGGACGAAGGTCATTTACTGGGAAATAGTTTTCGACCTCCTCTGCAAGATTCCTGATAAAATGTTCCTTATCTTTTCTCAACACTGACTTAGTTCTGCACGCCAGAGTACTGTGCAAGTTGCGATCCGCTGACAATCGACCCGAACGACAAGCATCTGTGGCTTCCAGTGTCTCTTGCAAGATGGAATTCTGTCTTGTTCTTGGGCGTTCACTAATCAATTCTTGGGCTGCATCATGCATTTCACGCTTAAAGGTGTCCCACAGAAGAACAGGCCCTTGAGTGCTGTGAAACGACCAGAAATAGCCTCGGCAACCCCCCGGGCACTCATCCTCTTTCAATCTGCCCACAAGAAGCACCCTAAGGTGTGGATGTGGTCGATCTCCTTGGTCACACTAACTATATTGCTATAACAAGTCCAACAGTGTGGGTCAGAACACTGATACCAGGAGCCAGAAATCCTCAATTTCTGGGACCTAGCAAAGTCACAGAAAAGGAGGCTATTCTCGCTGCCAGCATCAGCTCCTGAGCCATGAGGACCGATCAGACGTCTCGTAAAGCTTCAGTCTCAATACCATAACACACTCATTGACAGGAGTGACCTCCACTACCAAGGGTTGACGTCTGCTGGAGATGGCTATGGCTACTCCCTGGAGATGCTGCCAATCGCTGTGGCCCGAGCAGTGTTAAGTGTAGCCACCCACACAAATCATGCTGCTGCCAGGTCTTCTCACCTCTGAGAGAGCAGCCACCTCAACTCTCAGCTGCTACAATTCCCTCGACAGTAGTGGTAACCGATCGTTCTGTCGCAAGGAACGGACATACCAAGCCCCCACCCTGACAGCCTGCCTGAGGTCAAACCTTGGGCAGTCACTCTGGATAGGCACCACTTCTGCCACCCCTACCGACGCCGTCCTACATAGAGGGGGTTAACTGACTGCAGGTCCCATAATCCACCTGCAGGGCTTCCTACCCCTTCCAACGCCATTCCATACAGAGGGGGTTGGCTGGCTGCAGGTCCCATAATCCACCTGCAGTGCTCGCTAGGGCTTTCCCCCACAAGCCTCACGCCAGGTTGACGGCCGTCGGGACCCAGATGGGATGACGGGTAACCCACGCTCCCTACCCGAGTCCCAGCGGTCGCCAACTCGGAGGGATCCACAGCCCGCAGTACTTGCTGGGTGGGAGGGACTTTAGGCCTCCCCCCAGCACCACTGACTAAATGCTTTGGTGGCAATACGGTTATCTCGGGGAGGGGAGGGGGGGGGCAGACTGGCAAGTCCTGCCTCCCCACAACCACCCATTAACCCCAGGGGGCACGATGTCAGGAGTTAGTACAAAGTCAGGGCGTGTCCACACGCCGATGGGCCCTGACTCTGTACCTTTAGAGCCTCCTGCTGCTCCAAGAGCCTCCACAGTTCAGCTTAGGACCGCAAGGTACCTAGTTTCCATGGGTGGCAACGAAGAGGCACTGCAGAAGTCTTGATAGTGGAAAGACTATGAGCTAGCGGTGGCAGCTGCAAGCGAGAAGGCACTATCTAGGCTACCACACCATCGCTTCACATTACCCTGAGCATGAAGCACCCACCCATATATATATATATATATATATACATATATTTGTATATATATACATATATATATATATATATATAAATATATATATATACGTATATATAAATACATATATACGTATATGAATAAATACATAAATAAATATGTATACATATATTTAAATACATATATATATATATATATATGTATATATATACAAGAATATATGCTATATATACATATATATATACATATACCTATATATATATATATATATATATATATATATATATATATATATATATATATATATATATATATATATATGTATATGTATATGTATATATTTATATATATATATATTTATATATATATTTATATTTATATATATACATACCAATATATATTCGAAGAATATATGATATATATATACGTATATAAACAAATATATATGTATATATATATACGTATATAAACAAATATATGTATATATATACATATATATATATATATATATATATATATATATACACACATACATATACATACAGTATGTATGCTAAGTATAGTATATATATGTATATTTATATATATATATTATATATGCTATATACATATAGTATACATGCTATATATATATATAGTATATATGCTCTGTATATATATATGTATATATATATATATATATATATATATATATATATATATATATATATATATATCTTCGTATAGTGCCTTGTTAGATTCTGACAATGGCTGTCACAGCATGATACGAAATTCTGCCAAACTAATGATGTCCACTCCTCTCCCTTCTAAGCACTTGCCCAACCAACCGAGAAATGTCTGACTTTGTCTTCCTCTATCTCTCTTTCCTTCTACTTTCCCTGTTATCATTTTATATTCAATCCTTCCTTTCCTTATTATGTGTCCCAAAAAGCTACATTGTCTTTTCACTATTTGCTTTACTAATTGTCTTTCCGTCTGGGCTTTTCTCAATACATTTCCATTCGTTACCTTCTTTGTCCAGATCATCATCTTCCGTAAGAGCCACATTTCTGCCGCCTCGGGTTGCTTTTTCATTGCTTCGCTTATTGTCCTTGTTTCACATCCATACATCATCGTACTCCATATATAGCACTTGCTAATGTTTCTTGCAGTGAGCACGTTGGACATAGTTTTAAATGCTGGTTTTGCGATTCCAATTCTTCGTTTTATTTCTTGATCTGATTTCGCATTTTTTTTTCTACCTGTTCAATTCGTATTCCATCTATTTCTATATTGCATGCTGGACTTACATTCTCCTTTGAAATGGTCATACTGAAGGTCATTCTTTTGTTAGTATCTAGCCCAAATTTTCTACTTCCGTCTGCTATTACATTAAGGAGGTTTTGTAGCTGTTCTTCTGAATCTGCAACAATGGCAGTATCGTCTGCATGTCGGATGTTATTTACATTGAGCACTCCAACTTTTACTCCATCCATGTGGTTAATTTTCCTCATTATCATCTCAGTGTATAGTGAGAAGAGCTCTGGTGATAAAACACACCCTTGTCTTACACCTCTTGCTATGCTTACCATAGCATATATATATGTATATATATATATATATACATATATAGCATATATACTGTATGTATATATATGTATACATATGTGTATATATATAAATATATATAGCAAATATACTGTGTCTGTGTATATATATATAAATATATATATATATTTATATAGCATATATACTGTATATATGTATATATGTATATATATAGCATATATACCGTATATATATATATATATATATATATATATATATATATATATATATATATATAAAGAGAGAGAGAGAGAGAGCATATATGCTTTATATATATGTATATATATACATATATATATATATATTTATATATATACATATATATATATATATATATATATATATATATATATATATATATATATATTTATATATATACGGTATATATGCTATATATATACATATATATACACACACGTAGATAAAGTATATATATATATATATATATATATATATATGTATATATATATACAGTATATATGCTATATACATACATACATATATATATATATATATATATATATATATATATATATATATATCAAATATACTGTATATATATGTATATATATATTTTTTTATATATATACATATATATATATATAATATATAGATAGAAATATATAGCATATACACTGCATATGTACATATATATGTATATATATATAGAGAGAGAGCATATAGCATATATACTGTATATATGTGTATATATATATGTATATGTATATATACATATTATATCATATATATAGAAACTTATATTGTACTGTATATACATATGTATAAATTTTATTCTCTATATGTATGCACACACATATACACATATATATCTACAGTATATATCTTGCATATCCATATATATACAGTATATAAGGTATATATTTCAAGTATATAGGTACATATTTTTTACTGTATATATGTATATTTATACACACACACACACACACACATATATATATATATATATATATATATATATATATATACACACATATATATACTGTATATTAGTATGTACACACACACACACACATACACGCACACATTTATATATATATATACATATACATATATACACATATGTATACAAATATATATATATATATATATATATATATATATATATATATATATATATATACTTATAAACATGTGTATAGAAACATATGTATATATATATACATATATATATGTTTATATATATCTATATCTTTCTATCTATCATCTATCTATCTATATATATTTACATACACACATATATTCAAGTACGAAACATTACGTTGTTATTCCTTTCAAATTGCCGTTGTTTTATGATATCTTTGTATACATGTTACGGCTTATGATTGCAATACAGTTGAATCATTTGTGTATTATGTTATGAATCTCAGTTTCTTGCAGTTTTAATGCAATGAATATCATATGAGTCTGCTCAAAGTTACGAAAGAGAAATAACGATCGATTTGAAATCAAATCAAACTGCCTCATATTTAAGGAACTTTTAATTTCCTAGATCCGGTCAAAACATGACTTTTTTTTCAATTTTTCCTTGCATGGCTATACATCTATAGTTATGTTTACCTATGATTTTCAACAATATATACAATAAATATCATACGAGTCTGCTCACACAACATAAGCTGCATAAGCTTTCCAAATCCCTTTTTCGCGCCGACGTCAGACATTTAGAAGAGCAAATGCGTTTTTCACTTGTCGAAGGTGAGGACGTAACCGACCTTATGTGGGTTCTTGGTGGCGTCGTACTGACGCAGCTGGAATCCTGGCCCAGAGGATGACCTGAATCCTCCGGCAGAGGAGGAGGATGCGGAGGCAGCAGCAGAAGGATACCTCGAGGATGACGCAGCACTACCGGTGTAAGTGGAAGGGCTTGAGGGCGAGTGTGATGTTGCAGCTGCAGAGGAAGAGGACGAGGAGCGGAAGGGTGAAGCACCGGGAGAAGTGGATACTTGTTCAGTCTCGAATCCTACACCTTCTCCGGCGCGGAAACGGTAAGTGCGGCGTGTTCCTTGTTCGTCGAGCAGCGTGTAAGTCCCCTGGACGTTTCCGTCGGCGTCGGCTGACTCTGAGCGAGAATATTGTTCCGAGTCGAAGGCGAAGCTGTAGGAGGCATCAGCGTTGGTGTCAGCGAGAGGGTCGACGAAAGGGAATTTCTCGCACTGGAACGATCCTTCCAGTTGGCTGACCGGATGGCGCCCCAGGAACCTCAGGTCCTACGGGAATGTGAGCTCCTTCAGCAATGAATCCTGTATCAGAGCCAGCTTCATAGCGAATAGCCCTTTGTTGGCCGTCATCTGCTACAAAGGCGAAGTTGCCGTCAACATTGTTATTTGCGTCACCAGACTCTGCTCGGGAGTGAGTGGGAGCCTGGTAGGAGAAGGAATAGCTTCCATCAGGACGTGTCTGAGTGCGCGTGTTAGCTTCTCCGAATGGACGTCCACTGACTCCCGTTGAGGATGAGGAGGCTGAGCCCGAGGCGGAATAGGTGTGAGTTGAAGGGCGAGAGAAAGTGGAGGCAGCAGGGCCAGACTTGACGGAAGGAGTGTGAGAAGCAAAGGAAGTTGATGCGGGTCTGGAGGCGGAATGAGGTTGAGGAGCAGTAGGAAGGTGGTCTCCCGAAGCCTGGAATCCTCGGTTGGCACCGGCTGCGTAGTTAACATTTCGTCTGACTCCGTCATCTGCTACGAAGGAAAAGTGACCTTCGACGTTGAGGTTTCCATCGGCAGATTCGGCTCGAGAGTGATCCCCGGCGTCAAAAGAGAAGGAATAAGAGCCATCTGGGCTGGCAGCGCTCTGGCGAGAAGAGGCGGCGGCTCCTGCAGAAGGAAACGGAGATCCAGAGGGAGAGCCGGCACCACGAGAGGCTGAGGAGGTCCCTGGAGCAGCCGAGTATCCAGTTCCCAGGCGAGAGGAAGAACCTCGAGTTCCAGAGGAAAGTCGAGTGGCGGCGGGAGTGGACTTGGAGTCTTGTGGCGCGGTAGGGAGATCGCTGCCTTCCACCACAAAACCGGTACCTCTGCCGGCAGTGTAGGAGTAAGTGCGAGTGCGACCTTGGTCGTCGGTGTAGGAGTAAGAACCACGCACGTTGCCATCAGAATCACTGTTTTCCGAGCGAGCCTGACCTTGTCCTGCGAAGTCGAATCCATAGGAAGCATCTGCGTTTGGATCGGCTAGAGGGTCGACGAACGGAGCGCGTGCGCGAGCTTGGGCATGCGCAGCCTCGAAGTCTGGATGCGTGGCGGGAAGGTGAGCACCCTGAGGGACGAAGCCTCCCTCACCTGCCTCATAGTGAAGGCTAATTGGCCTGCCATCGGGAGCCACATAGCCAAAAGAACCTCGTTGCTGTCCTGGCGTAGATGATCGTGCACTCTCGAAGGCTCCCTCTCCGGTGTCATGGCCGTACTTGTAGGTGCCATCACTGTGCAGGACGTAGTACTGGGAACGTCTGCCGGTTCCTACTTGAGGAATTCTGTAGGCACTTTCATCAGGACGAGGCAAGCTTAGTGTGCTAACCGTAAGGACGGACAACAATACCTGGAAAAGTTCAAAAGTCATAAGATATAAATTATTTGAACAAATCATTACGTATTATATCAACTGTAGTTAACTTTAGGATATGAGCGTGAAAAGAAAGAAAAGCGAAAAGCTTATCGACTTATTTACCAAGCTAATCCAGGCAGCCATGGTGAATGGCAGGGTGAGGGAAGTGAGCGGGGAGACGCTTCGCCAGGGTGTGCTTGGCGAACGCGGCTCCTGCCCTTTATATTCCTGGGCGAGGGCGGGATGGGTCGGTGGCCCTGATACGACGACCCGTTAGTTTCTGGATCAACTTGAACTGAAACAGATTCCATGGCCCGCCTTTTCAGTCAGTTTTACATTATTGATGAACTCATTTCTACTGAGTTGCATAAAATTGTTGCATAGTTGTATAGCCTTGTGAAATATGTGACGGAAATGTCAAGGACACTTATACATGGGATGAAATGCAGTAGTTATCGGATTTAATACTGTTTGCTTGTGCAGACCATAATGGCTTGATAATGCAGTTAACAGCATATGAAAGAAACAATGGCAACTGAAATACTGAATAACAGAGATATTAAATGACGTGTCCTATACCATGATACCGTGCACCAATCATGGTATCAATAACAACACGACAACAACAATGATAACGATGATTTCAAATAGCAACGGTGAAGCCAAAGATGGTGATAACAGCAAGAACAATAGCAAACTCTAACAACAATAATAGCAAAAATATTATTTTCATCAAATGCAATTGTTGCTACTACTACTACCTATATTACTGTTACAGTTACTGCAATGTGTACTACTATCACTAATAATAAAAAATTGTTGATAATAGAAATGGCAATAGGAATTGAAATGATAACGATAACGATAACAGATGATAATTATGGTAATGATAATGATAATGAAAATGCTAGTAATAATAATGGTAGTAAAAATGATAATAATTATGGTGACAAAAAATACTAGTACTAGTACTAATAATGACAATGTTAATAAAGTAATAATAATGATGATGACGAATATAATATCATTGACAATAATTACGATAAAACTCGATAAGAATAATGAATTGCTAACAATAATTGTGATAACAACTACAGTAATACTATTATTGATAATAATAATAATGATAGTGGTGATAATAATGATAATAATAAGAATAGTAATTATAGTAGTAATAATAATAGTAATGATAATTAGAGATGGACAAGATATCCACGCTGGTTGCAGAAAGAGAAATTAAAATAATATTAGAAACAAAAACAATAACTGCAAATAACAACGATAACAGCAACACCATTGGCATTTGTGAGAATAACAGAAGTAGCCTCCGAGCTAGTACAGTGGTAACGTGTCGGCCTCTCATCCGAGGGGTCGGCGGTTCGCGCCCCGCCCAGGCGCGAGAAGTTGCAATTGTCGCGTACAGGTTACTGCTGTGGCTGGGCGCCACGGCGGGTAAGGACTAAGCCGAGTCAGCACCAGCTGACACTTTAGCGAGTCGATATTAGTCGACCCAGGCCGGGCTCCCCCCATAGCCCGGGCGAGGCTCAGCTTCGCATATCGGGCTTATCCTTATAACAGAAGTAAAAGTGGCAAGAGAAGTAAAAGCAGTAATAATAATAATGATAGTAATAATAATGATAATGATCAATTTATTATAAAGATTATAAGAATAAGGATAATAAGAATAACAAAAATATAATAGTTATAACAGCAATGGTTATAGTAATTAAAGTGATAATCACAACTAGAGCAACGATAATGATGGTAATTATAATAATACTAATAATAATCATAAAAATAATAATATTAATAGTAATAATAATATTAATAGTAATAATAATATTAATATTAATAATAATATTATTATTAATGATAATAATAATGACAAAAATAATCATCGTGATAAAAATTATAGTAATAATAACAATAATAGTAGAAACAATAATGACAATGACAAGGATGATAATGATAATAAGTAGGATAAAAGTAACAACAACAACATAAGATTCTCTTTAAGTGCAGTGCCCGCTATTGGCGTTGACTAAACAGGACCAGCGAGCACGGTCCCCCGCAGCACGTATGAGCTCCGTCGCCGACATCCCCATCTCTGTTGCCAGACCGTCCATTAGCATCATTCTCCGTCGTCCCCTTGCCTTCTTGCCTTCAATTTTACCATTCAGAATCAGGTTCTCGAGACAGATCTTTCTAATGAAGTGACCGAAATTTTTTTTTTTGATAATCGATTTTACTTCCTTGTTTTTTTATTCATTTTTTTTAAGTTGCAGTGAAAGTTTTCTGTTGTTGAAGGTTTTCATTTTATTAAAGGCGTTCTTAGCCATACCTATTCTTCGATTAGTGTCATCGACGCATCTACCTTCAAATGAAATCCAACTTCCAAGGTATTAAATCGATTTACCTGCTTGATTTCTACCTTTCTTACTTTGAGTTGGCATTTGGGTGGGACTTTCTTTTTAGTAACAACTAAGGTTTCAGTGTTGGAGCTGTTTATACTCAAACCAAAGCGTTCGCTGGTTCCCACTACTTTATCAAGAATGACTTGTAGATCACTCTCTGAACTAGCGATCAAAGCTGTATCGTCAGCGTATCTCAAATTGTTGATATTTACACTGTTTATTTTTATACCTGGAAGATCTAATTCTCGCAAAATATATTCACTGTACAGGTTAAAGAGATCAGGTGAAAATACACATCCTTGTCTAACAGCTCTTTTTATCTGTTGGAAGATACTGCAAGTATTAATAGTAACAGTAGTAAGAACAAAAATGAAAACTAATAATGGTATGATGAAAATCTTGATAATGATAATAATAATATCAACACTAATAAGTGCAATGATAATGATAATGATGATGATAAATGTAATAACTATGATAATGATGATAATGATTATAGTACTTATTATGGTAATGGTGATAATAACAATAATAATAATAATAATGATAATAATAATGATAATAATAATAACAATAATAGTAATAATAATAATAATAATAATAATAATAATGATAATAATAATGATAATAATAATAATGATAATGATTATTATTATTATCATAACTATAATAATAGTAATAGCAATGCTACTACTACTAATGATAACAATGATAATATTAATGAGATTAATAATGATCATATTAAAGTGATAATGATAATAGTCGTAATATTAATGATGAAAGAATATTCAATATTAATTATCATATTGACAATGATAAGGATAATAATGATAATGATAATAATATAATAATGATAATATGATGTGATGATTATAATGATAATGTTCATAAAAGATAATTTATCAGTGGTGAAAAAATAATGATAGTATTATCAGTATTGATAATAATAATAATGATAACAACAATATCAATAATAACAATAATGATAGAACACATGATAATGGTAATAATGATAATAATAATAATAATAATAATAATGATAATGATAATATTAATAATAATAATAATAATAATGATAATAATAATAATAATAGTAATAATAATGATAATAATAATGATAATGATAATAATAATGATAATGACAAAGATGAAAATAATAAAAATGATAAAATAATGAGTAATAATGATATTAATAAAAATAATGGTAGCAGTAGTCGTAATATTAACAATGATAATAATGGGAATCATGATAACATAAATGTTGATGATAATGATAGGAATGATAATGAGAATAATGATAATGATAGTGATAATAACGATAATAGTAATGTTGATAATAGTAACAATGGTAATAGTGATAATAATAATCATAATGATAATAACGATAATAGTAATGATGATAATAGTAACAATTATGAGGAAATATATCAAGTTATATTACTATTATTTATATATTAGTAGTCTTAGATCTATTTTTCTATCATCATTATCAATATTGCTTTCGTTATTATTATCGTGGTACTGTTATCACTATTGTTATAATTGTTGATGTTACTGTCATCATTATTACAATTACTGTTATTACTGCCATTATTATTATTATTATTGTTATTATTATTATTATTATTATTATCATTATCATTATCATTGCTGTTATCATCACCATTTTTATTATTGTCATTATCATCATATTATTATTGTTATTGTTGTCGTTATTATCACCATTACTATCATCATTTTTACTGTTATTATTACTGTTACTGTTATTGTTATTAGTTATTGCTCTATCATTAATATTATGATTACTATTATTATTATCATTGGTATTGCTATTGTTATTATTATTGTCATTATTATTGACATTATTATCATCATCATCACCATTCTTGCTATTATCATTATCATTTTTATTGTCGTCGTTAGTGTCACTGATACTGATAACTATACCAATATTGCAGCTAATATGTAGATACAAATAATGAGCAACGATAAGAATGACAATGATGATGATAACAATAGCAATTCCCTTTAAGGGAGGAAGCAAAAATCATGCTCCTAATCGTGGTGATTTATAACACTAATGAGTGTATTGGTGAAAATAATAAGCACGACAACTCTAACGAATGGCAGTAGTGACAAGGGTAAACTTCATAGATGCCATTATAATATTCTATTTCTACTGTTATCTGCCTTGTCATATGTAATAGGATTTTCATTATATTTTTTGCCATTAATATCAGCATTATCATAATCATATTGTTTATGACTCCTATCTTTATTATCTCTGTTGTTAGCAGCATTTGTATCATCAGAATAATGATGATTAGCCTTTTTATTTTCATCTATATCATTATCACCATTTTTAATGTTACGCATTTCAGGAATGATGTTAGATCTATGATGGTAATGGATCTGTTGATGTACATGGAACAACTGTTCTGATACCCATGTTTATGTTCCAATGCAGCATATGATACCCCTTTATAATTGTTCTGCACTGCTCTGAAAGAAGTTACATATCTGTTATTCAGATATGTAATATATGTATGTATTTTGAATTCTTAGATCGGCTTAGAGCATAAAGACATATTGTTTCTGAGCAACTTCTGATGTAAAATTACAGAGCAATTGAAATATCTGAATTATGTTATGAAACATAGTCTCTACAGGTGAAAAATATGTTATACATAACCTGGAAGTTTTACTTATTTTTTTCTTTTTTTTTTTACATGCATCATTAAGTATCAATATTATTCCTTACCCATACTTTTCAGAAATATAAACAATAAATATCATACGAGTCTACTCACACAGAATCTGGAAAGGAAAAAAAATCGATTTCCAAATCCATTTTTCGCGCCGACGTCAGACAAAGAGCAAATACGTTTCTCACTTGTCGAAGGTGAGGACGTAACCGACCTTATGTGGGTTCTTGGTGGCGTCGTACTGACGCAGCTGGAATCCTGGTCCAGAGGATGACCTGAATCCTCCGGCAGAGGAAGAGGATGCGGAGGCAGCAGCAGAAGGATACCTCGAGGATGACGCAGCACTACCGGTGTAAGTGGAAGGGCTTGAGGGCGAGTGTGATGTTGCAGCTGCAGAGGAAGAGGACGAGGAGCGGAAGGGTGAAGCACCGGGAGAAGTGGATACTTGTTCAGTCTCGAATCCTACACCTTCTCCGGCGCGGAAACGGTAAGTGCGGCGTGTTCCTTGGTCGTCGAGCAGCGTGTAAGTCCCCTGGACGTTTCCGTCGGCGTCGGCTGACTCTGAGCGAGAATATTGTTCCGAGTCGAAGGCGAAGCTGTAGGAGGCATCAGCGTTGGTGTCAGCGAGAGGGTCGACGAAGGGAAGTTTCTCGCACTGGAACGATCCTTCCAGTTGGCTGACCGGATGGCGCCCCAGGAACCTCAGGTCCTACGGGAATGTGAGCTCCTTCAGCAATGAATCCTGTATCAGAGCCAGCTTCATAGCGAATAGCCCTTTGTTGGCCGTCATCTGCTACAAAGGCGAAGTTGCCGTCAACATTGTTATTTGCGTCGCCAGACTCTGCTCGGGAGTGAGTGGGAGCCTGGTAGGAGAAGGAATAGCTTCCATCAGGACGTGTCTGAGTGCGCGTGTTAGCTTCTCCGAATGGACGTCCACTGACTCCCGTTGAGGGTGAGGAGGCTGAGCCCGAGGCGGAATAGGTGTGAGTTGAAGGGCGAGAGAAAGTGGAGGCGGCAGGGCCAGACTTGATGGAAGGAGTGTGAGAAGCAAAGGAAGTTGATGCGGGTCTGGAGGCGGAATGAGGTTGAGGAGCAGTAGGAAGGTGGTCTCCCGAAGCCTGGAATCCTCGGTTGGCACCGGCTGCGTAGTTAACATTTCGTCTGACTCCGTCATCTGCTACGAAGGAAAAGTGACCTTCGACGTTGAGGTTTCCATCGGCAGATTCGGCTCGAGAGTGATCCCGGCGTCAAAAGAGAAGGAATAAGAGCCATGCTGGCAGCGCTCTGGCGAGAAGAGGCGGCGGCTCCTGCAGAAGGAACGGAGATCCAGAGGGAGAAGCCGGCACCACGAGAGGCTGAGGAAGGTCCCTGGAGCAGCCGAGTATCCAGTTCCCAGGCGAGAGGGAGAGCCTCGAGTCCCAGAGGAAAGTCGAGTGGCGGCGCGGAGTGGAACTTGGAGTCTTGTGGCGCGGTAGGGAGATCGCTACCTTCCACTACAAACCGGTGCCTCTGCCCGGCAGTGTAGGAGTAAGTGCGAGTGCGACCTTGGTCGTCCGGTGTAGGAGTAAGAAGCCACGTCACGTTGCCATCGGAATCACTGTGTTTCCGAGCGAGCCTGACCTTGTCCTGCGAAGTCGAATCCATAGGAAGCATCTGCGTTTGGATCGGCTAGAGGGTCGACGAACGGAGCGCGTGCGCGAGCTTGGGCGTGCGCAGCCTCGAAGTCTGGATGCGTGGCGGGAAGGTGAGCACCCTGAGGGACGAAGCCTCCCTCACCTGCCTCATAGTGAAGGCTAATTGGCCTGCCATCGGGAGCCACATAGCCAAAAGAACCTCGTTGCTGTCCTGGCGTAGATGATCGTGCACTCTCGAAGGCTCCCTCTCCGGTGTCATGGCCGTACTTGTAGGTGCCATCACTGTGCAGGACGTAGTATTGGGAACGTCTGCCGGTTCCTACTTGAGGAATTCTGTAGGCACTTTCATCGGGACGAGGCAAGCCCAGTGTGCTAACCGTAAGGACGGACAACAACACCTGAAATAAAAACGATTTCTCTTTAACTGAGAAGAAAAATATCAAAGGTCAAAAGAGTAAATTATATGAACAAATAATTTCGTATCATATTAAATGTAGTTAAGTTTGAAATATTTGTGTGAAAAGAGAAAAGTTAATCGACTTATTTACCAAGCTAATCCAGGCAGCCATGGTGAATGGCAGGGTGAGGGAAGTGAGCGGGGAGACGCTTCGCCAGGGTGTGCTTGGCGAACGCGGCTCCTGCCCTTTATATTCCTGGGCGAGGGCGGGATGGGTCGGCGGCCCTGATACGGTGACCCGTTAGTTTCTGGATCAACTTGAACTGAGACAGATTCCATGGCCCTTTTTTATGATGCACCTTTTCAGTCTGGCGCGAAAATGATAGCGAATTGTTTCCCTTTTTATAGCATTGTTAAAGAACTGGTAATTCTGTTCATTCAACTGAATTGCATGGAATTGTTGCTTATCTGCATATCTTTATAATGATATCGATATGAATATACGGCGGAAATTCCAAAGGCTGCCATACTTATAGACGAGAGGAAGCGGCAGTTATTTTACCTCATGATAATATTGTTTACGAAATATAACGGTATACATAGTGATAACGATAACACTGATTTAGTGAATAATAATAGTAAAAGAATGATGTTTGACCACGATGACGATATAACAATGATAATAATGAAGGAAATAGTAATGTTAATATAACCATTTTTTACGGTAATAATAATGATAATGAAATAGTGATAAAATCATATAATAATATGAGGAAAAGTTACGATAACAGATAATTATAAATCATAATACTGATGATGCTAACCAAGCCGTGATAGTGTGATGGGGATGATCATGCTGATGGTGATGCTACTACAGCTAATACCTCAGATACTGCTACTACTCCTTCTGCTGCAAATGACGATGGTAGTGATGATAATTATAATGATGGCGGGGAGGATAAATGTGATGGTGATAGCGAAGATGATAATGACGATGATGATTATGATGATAATAGCGATGATATATATGGTGATGGTGATGGCGTTGATGATGGCAGTTATGATGGTACTGGTGGTGATACTGGCGATGATAAAGATAAATTGGTGACCTCGGAGCACAAGCCAAAAGACCTCGTTGCTGTCCTGGCGTAGATGATCGTTTGCACTCTCGAAGGCTCCCTCTCCGGTGTCATGGCCGTACTTGTAGGTGCCATCACTGTGCAGGACGTAGTACTGGGAACGTCTGCCGGTTCCTACTTGAGGAATTCTGTAGGCACTTTCATCGGGACGAGGCAAGCCCAGTGTGCTAACCGTAAGGACGGACAACAACACCTGAAATAAAAACGATTTCTCTTTAACTGAGAAGAAAAATGTCATAGGTCAAAAGAGTAAATTATATGAACAAATCATTTCGTATCATATCAAATGTAGTTAAGTTTGAAATATTTGTGTGAAAAGAGAAAAGTTAATCGACTTATTTACCAAGCTAATCCAGGCAGCCATGGTGAATGGCAGGGTGAGGGAAGTAAGCGGGGAGACGCTTCGCCAGGGTGTGCTTGGCGAACGCGGCTCCTGCCCTTTATATTCCTGGGCGAGGGCGGGATGGGTCGGCGGCCCTGATACGGTGACCCGTTAGTTTCTGGATCAACTTGAACTGAGACAGATTCCATGGCCCTTTTTTATGATGCACCTTTTCAGTCTGGCGCGAAAATGATAGCGAATTGTTTCCCTTTTTATAGCATTGTTAAAGAACTGGTAATTCTGTTCATTCAACTGAATTGCATGGAATTGTTGCTTATCTGCATATCTTTATAATGATATCGATATGAATATACGGCGGAAATTCCAAAGGCTGCCATACTTATAGACGAGAGGAAGCGCAGTTATTATTACCTCATGATAATATTGTTACGAATATATAACAGTATACATATGTGATAACGATAACACTGATTATAGTGATAATAATAGTAAAGATGATGTTGACCACGATGACGATATTAACAATGAGAATAATGAAGGCAATAGTAATGTTATAAATAACGATAATGATGATATTAATAATCGTAACAATGATAATGATAATAATGATGATAGTAATGATAAGGACAATAATGAGGTAATGAAGAGTGATGATAATGATTATAAGAACAATAAAACAAAAAGAAAAACGATAAAAAAGATAATGATGATGATAACTAATATTAATTATAATATTAGAAAAAAATGATAATGACGATAACAATAATAATAAGTAATCAGCAATAACTACAACTGCCACTAACACAAAAAGAAAGAAAGAAAGAAACCGACATCCAAACAGGAGTAATAATTCCGCCACCGGAAATGATGACGTGTTGATGACGTAAGTGATGATCATGATGGTGAAGATGATTCTAATCAATAATGATATCAACAATATTAGTAAAATTAGAATAGTAAAGATGATGACTATGAATATGATGACAATAATTATGATGATAATAATGATAAGAACAATGATAATAATAATAGCACGATATTGGTAATGATAATAATGGTAATAACAATTATAATAAAAGGGTAACGGTAATAATAATGATAATGAAATAGTGATAGAATCATATGATAATATGAGGAAAAGATACGATAACAGATAATTATAAATCATAATACTGATGATGCTAACCAAGCCGTGATAGTGTGATGGGGATGATCATGCTGATGGTGATGCTACTACAGCTAATACCTCAGATACTGCTACTACTCCTTCTGCTGCAAATGACGATGGTAGTGATGATAATTATAATGATGGCGGGGAGGATAAATGTGATGGTGATAGCGAAGATGATAATGACGATGATGATTATGATGATAATAGCGATGATATATATGGTGATGGTAATGGCGTTGATGATGGCAGTTATGATGGTACTGGTGGTGATACTGGCGATGATAAAGATAATGGTGATGATGGCAATGACAAGGGACATGATGATGGTAGTGATAATAAGAATGAAAATGATAACACTAGTAATAAGGATATAAATGAATACAGATCATGATGAAAGAGGTCACTGGTCACATTCCATCTGACCTCAACAAATCTGTGTTTATAGCACTACCAAAAAGACCTGGTGCGAGTGAATGTGAACTCCATAGGACAATTAGTCTAATGAGTCACATCACAAAACTAATCCTCAGGATTCTGTTAAACAGAATGAAAAGCAAAATCAGGCAGGAAATTTCACAAGAACAAAATGCATATATAGAAGGAAAAGGTACGAGGAATGCGATTTTTATCTTGAGAATGATGGCAGAGAGAGCAGTGGATGTCCAGAAAGATTTGTATCTGTGCTTTATTGATTACAGTAAGGCATTTGATAAAGTGAGACACCAAGAAATGTTCAAGAAGCTGGAGGTTTTAGATAATGATGGAAAGGATTTGCAATTAATTCGGAACTTATACTGGGAACAGTTGGCAGCCATCAGGATTGAAGGAGAAACAGGCAAGTGGTCTTCGATTAAACGAGGAGTTAGACAGGGATGTGTTATGTCACCAGATCTGTTCAATTTATATAGTGAAGTCATCTTGAGAGAGATTAAGAACATGCCTGGTGTGAAAATCGGGGGTGTGAATATAAACAACTTGAGATATGCAGATGACACTGTATTGATAGCAGAAAGTGAATTAGATCTTCAAAACATCTTAAACAAAGTCGTTTTAGCGAGTCAAAAGAAAGGACTCCAGATTAACATCAAGAAAACAGAATGCACGGTGATATCAAAGAAAAGTATACCACCAAAGTGCTCCTTAACAATCAATGGAGAAAGCATAAAGAATGTTCAAAAGTTTAAATATCTTGGCAGTTTGATAACATCAGATGGAAGATGTGAAATGAGATAAAGAAAAGAATCGCTTTGGCTAAGGATGCTTTTGGTAAAATGAGTGCAGTTTTCAAGAATAAGCAGCTGCAAGTAAAAACAAAGCTTCGACTGCTAGAATGCTATGTGTGGTCTGTTCTAATTTATGGGTGTGATGCTTGGACTATCAATGAGAACAAGAAGAAACGGATAGAAGCAGTGGAAATGTGGTTTCTAAGAAGAGTCTTAAGAATATCATGGACTGACAGAGTGAGCAATGAAAATGTTTTAGAAAGAGCAGGAGTAAAGAGAAAGTTGATGAAGGTAATCAGGAAAAGACAAATGCAGTTTCTTGGGCATGTGTTGAGATGTGAAGGAATGGAAAACCTGGTGCTAACAGGAAAGATTGAAGGAAAGAGGAGCAGAGGGAGATAAAGACAGAAGTTCATTACCAGCTTGAACAAGGATTTTCAATTTGGTGGAAGTGATTGTGAATTCTTATTGCTATCAGAGGAGAGAAAGAGCTGGAAGACCATGATCACCAACGTCCTGGAAGGAGAAGGCACTTAGAAGAAGAAGAATGAAAGAGGGGAAGTGTCCCGCTTGCTGCAGAGGAAAGAAAAAACACATATACGCTAGTAGTACACCATGCCGATGTATGTTTCAGTAAAAATAAAATTATATAAATATCTTCAAATAGCCTATAAATATTATAAGCAACCGAAATAGATGTGTCAAACAAAAAGAGATACTCGTAATATCAGTTTATATCCGCGGGAATTTTCTACTTTCTCGTGTGATTGCAGGGCACGGCTAGGGTATTTTTTCAGGATGTCGCTAGCGAGAATCATGATAGCAATATCGCAGTGGTTTTGAAGTCACTTTATTTTAAAAATCAGGACTTTTTACTTTGAATTTGGAATATAATCGTGATATAATTAAAAGCTTTCTTTTTTATTCGATTAACATTTTTTTCAACCTGTAAATAACATTGCCTTTCTGTACATACACACACACACACATACATATATATATATACACACATACACACATCCATCCATCCATGTTCTCCATCTCTCTATGTATATACGTATGGATGTATATACAAATATGTACGCATATATATGCATATTCATACACATATATACACATACATACATATGTATACACACACACACGCATACACACACACACACACACACACACACACATATATATATATATATATATATGCATATATATACATATATATACACATACATTTATATAAGTATATATACATATATATGTATATATAGATATATGTATATATGCATATATAAGTATATATATGTGTGTATATATTTACATATATGTGTGTAT